ACTACTACTACTACTACTACTACTACTACTACTACTACTACTACTACTACTACGACTACTACTACAACTACTACTACTACTACTACTACTAATAACTACTACTACTACTACTACTACTACTACTACTACTACTACTACTACTACTACTACTACTACTACTACTACTACTACTACTACTACTAATCATAATCAATAACAATACTAATATGAGAAAGAAGAGGAGGAGGAGGAGGAGGAGGAGGAGGAGGAGGAGGAGGGGGAGGAGGAGGGGGAGGGGGAGGGAGGAGGTGGAGGATAAAGAAGGAGGAGGCTCGAAGAGGAAGAAGGGAGGAGGAGGTGGATGAGCAGGAGGAGGTCAACATTTTCATTAGAACGAGGATTCAACAACAAGCAGTAACAATTCAAATGAGTTGGCATGTCTGGGTGTCTCGGGGCCCAGGTAATCCCAGCTGGTCGCAACAGGCCTCCCGAGCAGTCGGGGGCGGTCTCACCACCTCTCAGAGGTCCGGGGGATCCGCAGAAGTCCTGTGATTAGGTATGGACGGCGCATGCGCCCCTACATTTGTTCTCGCAAGAGACATGACCCATCATCGCATGCGTCTACTTTAGGGGTTTATTGCTTGAATGCTTGCTTTCCCTCCAGGGTCTTGGGCTTCCACTCCAGCGCTTCCCTTTTCCAGCGGGCGTGCCGATGCAGTGTGTGCGCCACAGAGGCGAGAACGCGCTGGCAGGGGGTGCTCTAGCCTACTATCCGCCAAGCTTCAGCGTGCCAGCTCACGCTCTCGCTTCCTCCTCCTCCTCTTCCTCCTCTTCATCCTTCCTCCTCCTCTATCCTCTTCCTCCTCCCTCCTCCTTCCTGTTCCTCCTCCTCCTCCTCCTCCTCATCCACAGCGCGAGCTGGCTGGAGAGGCGCGACGCGCTCGTGCGCAGCATGCGAGAACGAGTCGGGTCCCCCTGAAGCTGACCCTGGACGCCGCCGTGGCACCGCTGTGGCGCGTTCAGGCTGGGGCTTGCGAAGAGCTCGGCACCAGTGGAAGTGGGCATGGGAGTAGCACCTTTTAGTGTGCCCGCGGCCCCTACTTTCTCCACCGACGGCTAGCTGCGGTGGAGTGTGCGCCAGGTCAGTGCTGGCAGCAAAGCACACCTCCTCCTCCTCCTCCTCCTCCTCCTCCTCCTCTCCTCCTTCCTCCTCCTCCTCCTCCCCTCCTCCTCCTCCTCCCCTCCTCCCCCTCCCCCTCCCTCCTCCTCCTCCTCCTCCTCCTCCTCCTCCTCCTCCTCCTCCTCCTCCTCCTCCTCCTCCTCCTCCTCCTCCTCCTCCTCCTCCTCCTCCCCGCCTTGCGCCCGCTGGACGCGGCCGGGGCCCCGAGCAGTCGGTGGGCCGCCAGTCTCCAGGGCGTCGGGCGGCAGCGGTCACTGCTCTCGAAGGCCCTGCTCTCGAAGGCGCGCGGCGCGCTCTGCCGCGGCCGCGGCCCGGTCGGCCTCCGGCCAGGGCAGCCGCCCCGGCCTCGACCACTCCTGCGCCCGTCCGTGCCGCCTCCGCCGCGGGCCTCCAGCGCGGCGACTCCGGTGCAGTGCGGGACGGCCCGAGGGCCCGTGGCATCGCTGAGACGTGTGCATCTTTGTTTTTCCTCGGCGAGGACCATCGAGGAGCATGTGGGGTCATCTTGCGAAAGGTTCTAGAGATCCAACGCATTGCCAAAAATCGAGACGGAAGTTTTTCCCAGTTTTCGGCCTCCAGGGGCCCTCGCATGGCCCCAGGACAGTCGAGAACGACTCAGGATGAAAAACCGGTCCTGGGGAAATGGGTCGAGACCTCCGGGGACCGCGCCCTGAAAAAATCATGACATCGTATCCCTGGGATACACGCGCGAAGCCGAAAAAAGTGCTCGGGGGACGGACGTCCGAGCGATGGCGAGGTCCCCGCGACGCCGGCGCCGAGTCTGTCAGCGCGCAGAGGCGCTGGAGTGCGGCAGCTCGCGGGGCGCCGTCCGAGCGATGGCGAGGTCCCCGCGGCGCCGGCGCCGAGTTGGTCCGCGCGCAGAGGCGCTGGAGCGCGGCCCACTGCCAAGCAGTGGCGAAGCGTCCCGGCTTGCCTTCAGGCCCACCAGAGAATGTTCTGAGGACCTGTCTAGTGGTTTGCGCGAAAGGTTTTTAGAGCATTTTTGGCTAATCTTGTCAGGTTTTTGATGCATCGGGCTTATGCTCTAAGAACATTGGCTTCTATGTTAGAACATCGCTGGCTTATAAGAAAACATTGTGGTAGGCCTACAGGAATGCTGGGACGGTCGGTCCCTGCTCAACACTGGGACCCCCCGATCGCCGATTGCGATGCGATAGTTCCGCCTCGCGCGCTCGGGTTTCGCCCACTCGCGGCTCCCAAGAACCCGCGCACCACAGGTCGCTGTTGCCTAGGATCACTCTACTGTCGTGTGGCCGATCCTCCTCCCTGCAGCGCCGCGCATCGGTGCGTGCGCAGGAGCCGCTGCGCTGTGCAGCCTGC